CGAGCTGGGGCGGTGACGAGGAGGCAGTGACGAGGAGGCAGAGCAGTGAGCTCTCATTCCCTCTCGGCTCGGGTGCTCACAGCTGCATGGAACAGCTGCACCATTGAAGGTGGAACTGTCACATCAGCTGCCAGAATGGAACAGCTGCACCATTTAGGATGGAACTGTCACATCAGGTCACAGAATAGAACAGCTGCATTATTTAAGGTAGACCTGTTATATCAGGCACCAGCTGCACCAGAACAGAATAGCCATACTATTTAATGTGGAACTGATACAACATACAGGGACATGGAGGAGCCTTAGTGGAGTGGAGCAGAGTGAACAACTCAAGCCTAAATATTGGAAAGACAAAGGCTGTCCTGTTGTGGCTCCACAACTGAATTAGATTAGTAGGTAAAAATAAAATAATCCTCCTTTACAGTAAAATAAAGCTCTGCTGATCGTTCAACACAGTTTAACAGTAAATGGTCTTAAACTCTGGAGTTAATGTAGAACTGCTGATTCACCCTTTAACCCTGAAGATCAGCGCAGACTGCTGGTCACCATAGCAACGCAGACAACAGTCTCGCCTAACGAAACGGCAAAGAGAGAGATTTAAGATGAACATTGATAATTTGGAGATGAATGGACTTATTTGCGTTTATAATCACTCCAGCTGGTTTCCTGATACGTTTAATCTGCAGCAAAAAACTGACAAACACTAAAAAGTCGCACGACTGAAGCTTCTCTTTTGTCAGCTTCTTGTTCGATTTTTCCTGTTCCACCTTAAATGGTACAGCAGTTGCATTCTGACGCCTCAGGCACCATTTAAGGTGGAATGGGAAATGTCAAACAAGAAGCTGGAGAATGAGAAGTGACTTTAGCCTTGTTAAAATTTAAGCATTGAGACATTTTACAAGAAACTGTTCTACTTTTGAGGAAAGGTTTCCTGCCAGAGATGTGAGAAAAGCAGCTATAGCTCAGCTAAAGCTGAAAGCAGAGCAAAGTGAGTCTGTGTTTTTGTTTATATTATATTTTTAGTCTATACTAGAACCTCAGCACATACCGAGACATATTTACAGCCAAAGTAACATGGACCTAAAACGTTGTGGCTCCCGAAGCGAGTGGTCTGATTTTTGTTGAAAGGACAAAATGTCTCTTCTTAACGTTTGGGGTGCGACCCCTGAGTTGGTGGCTGACTTCAGGAGACGGAAGAGGGCCTACCATCTCTGACCATAACTAGTGAGGAGGTGGAGATGGCTGCCTCCTTTAGGTTCCTCCTTGAGAGATGAACATCAGCTCATCTCTTAAGTGGGAGGGCAGCACTGCTGTCTCGTTGGTGAAGCTCGTCAGAGGCTCTTCTTTATAAGACAGCTTAAGAATGATATGCTTTTATAGAGCTGTTGTTGAAAATGTGTTGACCTCCATATGTGTCTGGTATGATAGTACAGCAGTATATGAGAGAGAGCAGCTAGAGACAGTGGTGCCTCCAAAATCGCTGGTTGCGACCTTCCATCTGTTGTTTCTGTTTACCCGAAATGGATGGAAAAGAAAACATTAAAATCTATGTAGAAAGTTCAGACCCAGCGCAGCACCTTTTTAAAAAGCTCCCTCTACTGGCACAAGGGTTAGAGGAACACCTTGGCTGTACTTACCCTCCCTCTTAAACTCCACTCCACAGTTTTAACCTTGTTTATTTTAATTAACATAAATGTTATTTATTGGGATTATCTATGTTTTGTGTATGAGTGTATATTGTTTGTGTGTTGTGTGTCACACGCGTCTCAAGTGACTGGGGGAATTTGATTATTGGCTCAGGTTTCAGTAGCGAGCACACGTTCCTCTTTTAATATCTTCAGTTCCTTCATTAACGTGTTAAGCTTCATTTGGTTCTCTCTGATTCACAAACTGGCTCTGTTAAATCAAAAAGGGTTACAAGTCTGACATTGTAACACTAGCAGAACCTTTTTGGTGCTACAAAGAACCATGTAAACACATTCTAAGGTGCTGCGAAGTGGTTCATAGTGTAGCGAGTTCAGGGACTGTTTTTCATGTTTATTCTGATTGTTTGACCTGCAGCAGTTATTTTTCGGGTTTGTTGTAAAAGGACTCTGATTGTGGCACCTTTTTGGGTTGTGTTGATTCTTAGTGCAGCAAGACAGCAGAGAGTCGAGCGCTGCCAGCCGACCAAGCGACGTAGCCAAAGCTCAGAGCGCTCTGCACTTACCTCTTCTGTGTGAGGCAAGGCTGGAGCCACAGACAGCCTTTAAAAAAGTCTACAGTTGTGGAAAAGCTGTGTGCTTCGCACACACACATGCATTTTTTCACATGCATAGCTGCTTATTCTCCTGGGTCCAGCAGGGGGTGCTGGAGTCTATCTCAGCGCTCACAGGGCAGAAGGCAGGCAACACCCTGGACATGTTGCTAGTTCATCACAGGGCAGACAGACATACATACACACTCATGCACCTAGGGAGAATTTAGTATCTCCAGTTGGCCTGACTGCATGTGTTTGGACTGTGGAAAGAAACCCACGCAGACACGGGGAGAACTCCACACAGAGAGAATCCTGGTCGCCTGGACGGGGAATCGAACCCAGACCCTTCTTACTGTGAAGCGATAGCACCAGCCTAAAACTAAAGAAAATTCGTCCCCAAAAAAGTCACCCATCAAAGGAAACAAAAGATAACAAAAACATTACCGAACTTCATGGCAATTTAGAACCCCCCCAAAAAAGATTACACTCCCCACAGCTTCCAATATAAAGGATAGATTTTCAAGCCCAAGAATTCACACACCACCGTAGTGGAACTATAGTTTAAGCGTCACAAAGACGAGCACAACACACAGAGAACAGGCCCAACAACTCCACTGTAAGTACTCTCTTAGTCTGGCAGGCGGAAACATCGCAGCATGCGCAGACTGATAAATCCGAAAGAAATCAGAGTAAGAGTTTACATGCACTGAGAAATCTGATTACTGAGCTCAAATCCAGCCTCTTTATCAGATTCCTTAATCGGATTTCTAGATCAGAGTATGGTGTTTACATGACACTGCAGAAATCTGATTATGATCGGATTACTGAGTGCATGTAAACACACTCACTGTCAGTGCACTGTCACAACCTACTAGAATCCTCATAAGTTTTATTAAGTTGTGAATGGAAACTTGTGACAATGTAAACAGCACCACCTTGTGACAACATTGTGTGTTTGCTGGGCGCCGCATCTCCATCAGCAGCAGCACCTGTAGACTAACACAGAACAGGAGAGCGAGAGAACGAAAGGGAGTGAGACAGCTCATACAAGAGAACGACAGAACACACGTTTAAATAATAATGTGTCCCTGAATGTAACAGTCTGTTATATGATGTTATAAAAGCCACATATTATTTTCTTAGAGCTTTGTTTATTGTACAGGTGGACGTTGGATCTGGTGATACAGTCAACAGCACCAAAATGATAAAGTGTGTAGTTTGATTAAAAAAGGCACAGAATGATGAACATCATTAACCCTAATTATCCAAATGTCTCCCTGTGATCAGTAATAGAGGTCTGTACTGTTTTTTCAGTCCCGCTTCCATCCGCAGTTCCGTCAAAGCAAACTGACATCCAGTATCTGTCAGTCTATTCACAAACACATTATTCTCTGCTGAAATAACAGGTCAGTCGTGGTCATCAGGCTCACTATGAGTAACTTCACCAAATGCCATTTATTCCCAGTAAACACAGAGCAGGAATTAAACCACAGAGCGGTTATTTTTGGTGTTTCCTGGCCGTCGGACTGAAGGCTCCGTCTCTGTGATATACAAGAATCTGCGTGTTGTTGACATGATCGGCTGCTTCACAGTTCTTTAGAATGACTTCATTCACTTTAACTGTTTTACTGTTATCATTTTATATTGTTTACATATGATTTAGTGAGTGTTCTACTTTATTTAGGCTGGTCATTAATCTGCGGGATTTCTCTTCATGTGTGCTTCGTCCCGCTCCCGCCTGCAGGGGGCTGGTTTCCCACCTCCTCAGCACACAGTGCTGAAAATTACTCCTGCACCACAAGATATTGTGGTGAGTCCAGCAGAAATCTGCGAGAGTGCAGAAATCTAATCTCAGTGCTGTGTAGATCCCAGTGTTCTGTACGCAGCCCCAGACGCTCACTAGAGACTCTGAAACTGAGGATGTGCTGCTCAAAAACCTTCACCAGGTAAATCATCTACCACTGAGAGCTCCACAGCTGTTTGTCACACAAATCTCACTCATTTTGGCCTAAACTGAAGGGGAGATACTAAATTCACCCGCTGGGCGTGCATACCCACAGTGCATTACGCAAATAGTCAGAGCTGAAATGCTGGATGAGGCGGTCATCGGTTGAGCGGACTGTTCAGATGGGTTAAGCGAGCTGTAGTTAGTGAACTGGCTAACTCAGCACACAGTGAGGGAGGTTGGGGTGACCTTATTCTGCAACATTATTAAGGTCTGCAATTGTATTACAGAAACATCCTATCTCTGAAATCTGATGTGTTTAGTCTCCATGACGACTTCAGTACGGACTGAATTTAGTTCAGTATCTATTCCAGAATAACAGTTCCTAACTTCATAATCTCATCATGAACTCCAGATAAGAAAACAGCATCACACAAACATCCTAACTAGACTAAACCTCCTAAATCCTGTCCTAACTTTAGGATGAACCCCAACAGGGTCCTCACTTCTGTTTAAGGTCCGCTTCTATGGTTTTTAGGCAGCTGAGTCAGCAGCATAGTTCACTACCAGCATAATGAGCTCCATTTATCTCTACTGTAAAACGCTGCTTTCACTGTGAGATGATTTTCTTTTCTAACTCTGCGTTTTAAAGATCTCAGATGCTGCAGACTCGATCTCCACCGCCCCTCTGATCACCTTGGTGTGTTAATGTTGATGATGAAATATTACAGTGATGGTGGTGAATAATGAGGAGACGGAGCTGAACGTGTGTCTGTTTATTAGGAGGAGTAACGTTAGCGCGCTCGGCTAAAGCGTTTGGGAAATGGAGACTGAAACTGGGGAGCGGCGACGCTCTGATAAACAGCAGGGGGCGCTCTCACAGTATTCACTACTCACCGTCTATCACACTTCAGTTCTGTTTGACCTTTTTTACATCAGTAACTGTAGCTGTATCTCAACCTCTCAGATCTTAATGTAGAACTAAAAAGAGGAAGTTGCTGTAATGCGGCTCCAGGTTTACATTGTGTGGCATTTATGGACAGTTGTGGTCTGAAATATTAATAAAGTGGTTCAAAAGGGACTGTTTATCTGTTTTATTCTGTGCAAACCTGCAAACCTGCCTACTCGCTTGTTGTAATGTTAATGCTAGCCAGCGTGGGCGAGCTGCTGTTAACAACGGTAAACAACTTGTTACAGTGAGAAAATGTCCTGAATTAAACAGGCAAGACTAATAAACTCTTCATCTGTAGCACTTTAAAAAATGTAAAGACAACTGAACGCAGTAATTAAATTTAAGCCTAAATTTAAGTTAAATTTAAGGCTTTTAATATCTGATCAATCAAAAGAGTAGGTTACCCTTAACAGTGCTGATGATATTTTTATTCATCAGTATTGCTTTATTTCACTGAATGTTCATTTTAGGTACATAATCTGGCCAAAGAAAATGGATTTAATGTCTCAGTCACTACTTTTTGAGAATAAACATCCCAAAATTAAATTGGGATGCATTTTTAATCACTAACAGAGCAATATAAGAGCACAGAGCCCATTTCTGATAAAATATACAATCGTTTATACACAGTAATGTTACGTTTCTGTATTTACAGAAATTATATAACAGAAATAGAACTAAACATAAATACAGTAAAACGCACAAAGAGCTCGTGTCAGACGGTGAAACTGCTGCTTCACTGGATCACAGTTTCGTTTGGCTCTAACTGTTTGCACAGTGCATTGTGGGAATGCACGCCCAGCGAGTGTGTTCAGTATCTCACATGGTACCAGAAAAATCTGTGTTTTCAAGTCTCTCCGGTATAAAAGCGTCCCGGAGTGAGTCCGTGGTTATCCAGCACCGGTGCCCGGAGTGATCCTGCGTATGTGTGTGTAGGACTTCCTGAGGGTCACGCTGCCATGGTGGGAGACCCCCCGGGGCAGCACGCACTCCTCCGTTAGCCGGCGGGTCTGAGGGTCCCAGCACAGCACCGTGGCGATCACCTCGTTCCTCTCGTCTCGCCCACCTGTGATGAAGAGTTTATTACTGCAGGCGGCGATTCCACAGCTCGCCCGCTCACTGCCCAACTCCGTCACCAGCGTCCACTCATCAGAGTCCGGCCTGTAAGAGAAAAGAGCCTTCATCGCCCCGCCTACAGAGAGAGAGAGAGAGAGAGAGAGAGACGGAGAGAGACAGAGACAGAGAGAGAGACAGAGACAAAGAGAGAGACAGAGAGAGAGAGAGAGACAGAGACAGAGAGAGAGAGAGACAAAGAGAGACAGAGAGAGAGAGACAGGGAGACAGAGAGAGAGAGAGAGACAAAGAGAGACAGAAAGAGACACAGAGAGAGCGAGAGACAGAGAGAGAGACAGAGACAAAGAGAGAGAGAGAGAGAGAGACAGAGTCAAAGAGAGAGAGACAGAGAGAGAGACAGAGAGAGAGAGAGACAGAGACAAAGAGAGAGAGACAGAGAAAGACAGAGAGACAAAGAGACAGAGAGAGAAAGAGAGACAGAGAAAGACAGAGAGAGACAAAGAGAGACAGAACGAGAGACAGAGAGAGAGAGACAGAGACAGAGAGACAGAGAGAGAGACAGAGAGAGACAGAGAGAGAGACAGAGAGAGAGAGACAGAGAGAAAGAGAGAGAGAGAGAGATACTGCATCAGCACAGTTTCGGACAACAAAATCATTTTAATCAGGTTTCTGTTCTCAGTTAAAGCTCAGAAGATCTCCTGACCCACGACGTAGATGGAGTCTCTGAAGGTCACAGCATTTGTGCATTTGGCCTCGACAGGCATCGGACTCTTCAGCGTCCACTTATTAGCGGTCGGATCGAAACACTGAACACTGTTAGTGGCCAGTTTTCCGTTCGGACCTCCTCCAATCACGTAGATACATTTTCCATAACTGGCTGCAGAGAAGGAGCTCACACTGAACATCAGAGGAGCAGTCTGAAACACACACACACACACACACACACACACACACACACATAAGGTTCAGCTTCGTCTGTTTCTATGGATACCACCGCTGCGTGTTTGATTGGTTAACATCTGTTTCTTTGTTCAGAAGAGACAGCGAGACAGAAGACAACTGAAAAGACAGGAGAGTTTGGGAAAAACAACATCAGAGCTCAGGCCACGAGACGATTCTGGTACTCAAAGATGACGCAAGAGATTCCGCTAACCTAGTAGCTGACATTAGCATACGTGTTTCGGAAACTGTGAGACATGTTAGCGGGAAAAAAAAAGCAGAAAAAGAAGACGAAGAAGAAGAATAAAAAGAAGAAGCATATAAACTTTGCTTTGCAATGCACCATCAATAATAACTGACAATCTAAAAAAAGAGTGGAATGGTTAACATGTGGATTCAATCAGACTCCTTAACTGATTGGTAACTGATTGGTACCTGATTGGTACCTGATGGCATATTTTCAGCATAAAGCGTAACTGATGCTTTACTGATGATAGTCGACTGTCTCATTTCCCGTATCTGGGTGGTCAGAAAGGCGGCCCTGCTCTGATCCAGTGTGGCTGACCGCCTCTCGGTTCCCCTCTGGAAGTTCTGCTGTGTTGGAGTGGTTTGTGTTTGTGAGCGGCTCTAAAACAGTCAGAGTCCTGACTGACCAGCAGTGAGGCCGCGGTTTGGTGTGAGAGCTCACCTCGGTCCAGCAGTTGTGGAAGGGATCATACGCCTCCACACTGCTGAGCCTTTGAACGCCGTCGAAGCCCCCCATCACGTACACCTTCCCCCCGACCACCGCCATTTTGTGTCTCCAGCGGCCGATGCTCATGAACTCGATCTGGATCCACTTGTTGAGGGAAGCGTTGTACTTCCACACGTCGTGTTGGGTTTCTTTACCGCCTGCACACGAGTTCATAATTACAGCTAAAATCACTGAAACGTTGCTATAAACGTGCTCGTCATGAAGGAAACAGCACTGCAGTCTGACAGACAGAGCTCAGCTCACCTGACAGGTACACTTCATTACGGAAAGTGATGCACGCAAACTCCACCCACTTCTTGTTGTCAGTCTCCGTCTCCATTTCTGTGATTGGCAGCTTGGCCACCTCCAGCCGGCTGCGGCGCAGAGGGTCCAAACACGTCACCTCCGAAACGAACTTCTCGTCTTTAGTGCAGCCGCCGATAATCATGAACACCTCTGACTGGAACTGCTGCAGCCTCGGCTTAGTGCGCTCTGAAATCACCTACAGTGAGAGAGAAATACAAACTCAAACTCAAACAACAAATAATACAAGAAAACAACCTTAACCTTAAAAATAATACAAATAAAACAACTTTAACTTTAAAAATAATACAAATAAAACAACTTTAAGATTTAAAATAATACAAATAAAACTACATTAGCCATAAGAAAAACTAAAAATCAACTTAAAACAAGTTAATAAAGCCGGAGTAACACGGAGTAAAACTTCAGCTAAAATCAGGACGTTTTAGCTGAGGATTAATTTTTGTATCAATAACTAAAATTCACTGGTTTAAATTGACTCATTAGCTATTAGCAAACTAGCTAGCTCTTAACTTAATTGATGGACAATGTGTTCTAAATGGTTCTATATATCACCAAAAAAGGGTTCTTTATAGAACTGTATACAACACATTTCCCATCATTCTGAGGAACCGTTTCACTATGCAGAGAACCATTTAAGCATGAAATCTGTAAGTAGTGCAGTGTTCGCTGTATCTGTGGGATGTTTATGTCTAATCACGCTCAGCTTGTTTACAGTCACTCATCAGTGATTTTTAACGTGCTGTTCAGTCAGCAGAGCCGTGTTCAGTGGCGGTTTAGTGACCACATTTGTGGTAAAAAGGGGGAAGTGTGTAAATCTGATTGCTGTTTTAAGTGAACGCTGTCGCTGCACCTGGACTGGACATGTTTATGGTTGTCTTTACCTCATTTCCTGCCAGGTGGTACGTGCGGGCCTCCTGAAGCAGAGGGAACAGTTCTGGGCAGCCACGGATCAACTCATCCCCCTCCGCCTTCTCCACGAAGTAGCAGGGGTCCAGCAGGGGGAGCCGTACGTGCGCAAGGATTTGGGGCAGCAGGGGCAGTCTCTCGGCCTGGTCTGCTCGGACCCAGCGCATCACCGCCTCGAACACCTGCTCCTCCTGACTGACCCCCAGCTCGTCCCTCTGCAGCAGCGCCATCAGCTCGGCTGCCGGCAGCTCCGGCAGCTCCTCCCCCGAACACGCCTGTCCGAAGTTCTGCACCAGGTGCGCCTGCGCCTGTGCCTTCAGCCCCGCCAGAGCGTGAGTGTCCGCCAGACGCAGGATTCCCACGCAGTTCTCCGGCTGCAGCGCCTCTGCCAGGTAAACTGCACACGCCTCCACCACCCGCGGAAACTACTCAGATAATCATAACATCATAACAACAATAACAACAACAACAACAACAACAACAACAATAATAATAATACTGGTATAACGGCCCAACTTTCTAACTGTGACTGTCCAACAGTCCTTTCCAAGTGTTACTGTCCTGCTGTCCAACAGTCCAGCTTTTATTGTCCAACTGTCCCTGTCCAATTGTCCTACTGAGGTTAGCACAGTGAGGTTAGCATAATGAGGTTAGCACTGTGAGATCAGCACAGTGAGGTCATCACAGTGAGGTTAGCACAGTGAGATTAGCACAGTGAGATTAGCACAGTGAGATCAGCACAGTGAGGTTAGCACAGTGAGATTAGCACAGTGAGGTAAACACAGTGAGGTTAGCACAGTGAGGTTAGCACAGTGAGATTAGCACAGTGAGATCAGCACAGTGAGGTAAACACAGTGAGGTTAGCACAGTGAGATTAGCACAGTGAGGTTAGCACAGAGAGATCAGCACAGTGAGGTCGGCATAGTGAGATTAGCACAGTGAGATCAGCACAGTGAGGTAAACACAGTGAGGTAAACACAGTGAGGTTAGCACAGTGAGATCAGCACAGTGAGGTAAACACAGTGAGGTTAGCACAGTGAGATTAGCACAGTGAGATCAGCACAGTGAGATTAGCACAGTGAGGTTAGCAAAGTGAGGTTAGCACAGTGAAATTAGCACAGTGAGATCAGCACAGTGAGGTAAACACAGTGAGATCAGCACAGTGAGATCAGCACAGTGAGGTAAACACAGTGAGGTAAACACAGTGAGATAAACACAGTGAGATAAACACAGTGAAATTAGCACAGTGAGATCAGCACAGTGAGATCAGCACAGTGAGGTAAACACAGTGAGGTAAACACAGTGAGATAAACACAGTGAGATAAACACAGTGAGATTAGCACAGTGAGATCAGCACAGTGAGGTAAACAGTGAGATTAGCACAGTGAGGTAAACACAGTGAGGTTAGCACAGCGAAATTAGCACAGTGAGATCAGCACAGTGAGATCAGCACAGTGAGGTTAGCACAGTGAGATCAGCACAGTGAGATCAGCACAGTGAAGTAAACACTGAGATTAGCACAGTGAGATCAGCACAGTGAGGTAAACACAGTGAGGTAAACACAGTGAGATTAGCACAGTGAAATTAGCACAGTGAGATCAGCACAGTGAGATCAGCACAGTGAGGTAAACACAGTGAGATTAGCACAGTGAGATCAGCACAGTGAGGTAAACACAGTGAGATTAGCACAGTGAGATCAGCACAGTGAGATCAGCACAGTGAGGTAAACACAGTGAGATTAGCACAGTGAGATCAGCACAGTGAGGTAAACACAGTGAGATTAGCACAGTGAGATTAGCACAGTGCAGGGTGGAGAGGTTGTATATGGAATAAATCAATGTGTATCTCTGTCTTTATGCACTTATAGCGGCTGTAAGATGTTAAAAACTGATAAAACTGTTTTCTGGCTTTAGGACACGATGCTGGATATTTACTGGTGTTTGTTGCTGTTTGTGATCAGCCGTGTGACCCGCCCTGCTCAGCTGCTAACAACAACCTCCAGAAATGGAAAGTTTCCTCTGACGGTTTGTTTCAGTTCCCTGTCTGCTGCTGTTTTTCTCTCTGCAGTGAGACGAGCCGGAGTTCATTCAGAGATTTTTTTCCACATTTTAATTTTTTTGCATCATTTACTTGAACAACAATGATGAAGCTGTTGTCTTGTTTATTGCTGTAAGTGTGAGTGAAGCCTTCAACACCTTAAACACCAATGATAATGTAAAAAGCTCAGAATCAAAGTGTCCATTTCAAATCATTCCAGATCACACAGAATGTAGACAAATTAACAAGCATACGGGGTTACGAGCAGCGTGTAACGGTCAAAAGTGGTGCTTTTGGTGTCACAGTCGAACACTTAAGAAATCATTTTAAAAGTGACGAAAACGAGAAACAGTGATTAAAACGCTGCTTGTTTGCGCGCCGGTCAGTACAGACATGATCAAACGGTTTGATCAGCAGCAGATCAACAGTGAAAATATCAGTCGTGTGAAACTATTTCACAGTTTCTATAAGGAACATTAGACAGATTTATAATCTCTGAAATCTGTGGTGCATCAAAATACCCAAGAGCCTCTGCACTGCAGGTCTGATAGAACCTGAAAACAACTCGATACGCAGAAAACAGCAGAACATCATGAGCAGAGAGGAAAGTCCTGCATCACACGATGAAAATATTCACAAAGCAGAAACCACTGAGCCCTTTCAATGAAAAACAGTATAAGTGACATTTTCATAAGTGCAGTGTGGCACGATGTTTAAAATAAAGGCGTCACTAAAATGTAAATAAAGCACAGTTTGGTTTTTTGATGTAAAAGCTTGTACAAAATAAAATAGAAAAGTGTGGAATGATTACTATGGTTTTATTGGAGGAGCTCAATGAGGAATGTTCTGTACACACTGTACTCATTTTAGTGTGTTTATTTACTGTTTTGATTTACTGTCAGCTCCGTTTTTTCTCAATGAAAGCAGATTTTATCAGTTATAAATATGTATTGTTTACTGTTGAGCATTATCAGTAGTAATATAATGTTTCAATGTTTTTTAATGTTCATTCCAAACCAGGAGGCCCATTTGGTCCTGAATAACACAGACCAAACACACCTGCCTCTGAAGGCCTTCAGTACCTGAATCAGGTGTGTTGGATCAAGATTGGAGCAAAACTTGTAATTTTTTACTTTTTCATTTAAAACACCAGCAGCTCTTCACACGGTGTTAAATTATTATATGCTGACCAGACCCACAGAAATTACTTGGGAAATAATCATGTTATATTAACTGTCATTTAAAGTTATATAAAACTTTATTGTAAAAGCCCTTTATTATGATTTAATATGAGCGCGAGACGTTATAAATGAGGAGACAGTCACTGGTTGAAATGCTCAACATGGCATCTGTTTATGGAGAAAGTCCCGCCCTTCATGAAAAAGAGGCAATCAGCTCCCCCCAAATTGGAGATCAAACGCAACAGCCAGAAAAACCTGAACATCACATTTTTTTGTTTTACTGAGCCAAACGCAAAAAACGATTTAAGATGTTTCTGTCAGATTTTATCAGTGATTTCAAATCTGTTTTCAAACAGTAGTTTGACCTTCAGTTTGGAGTATTTTGGTCTCTCCTCATTCAGAGAGGGAGGAGTCTGAACTTGTATGGCTGGAAATAACTGCCCTGCAGTGCTGTAACGATGGCCGCTGAGTGAACAGACTTTCCTGTAAGGACTTTGTGTGAGTCGTTAAGCTGTGATTTAAATATTCAGAACTCCTCGTGTCGTGAGAGCTGTGTGTTCTACAGCAGAACCGTACTGAGCTGTAGACGGGTCGTTATTTCATACTGACCTGGAACAGGCTGGCCGCCTCCAGAGTTTTCTGAACGTTCTCCTTGGTGATGTGCACTTTGCTGGTGTAGGTGTAGTCCAGCAGGATCTTCATGTTCTCCGCATCGATTCCTTTAATGTTCACACAGTCCTCGTGTTTCTCTCGCAGGTCGTTACAGAACATCGCTCTAAAAAAACATCCAGGAAAAGAAGAAGAAGAAGAAACTCTCTTAAGAACATTAAATTAACTTTATTGTGAAAAGAACAGAACAGAACCCTCAGTGTTCTGATATTAAACACATGCAGAACGTAATGCAGTGGTCACTAAACTCCACCTTGGATCATGATCGTAGGGATGGGCAACACGGTGATATCGTGATCCTTATATCTGACTATATGATGGTAAAGTCTGGTTTTCTAGAACACTGAACAGCTGTGTGGATCCTGAACAAGACTCTAAACGTCCTAAACTCACCTGTAACACGATCAGAGCTGGGTAGTAATCAGTAACTTTACCTCGAGTACTTTAGTAAAATACTGATGGATTTGTGATCTGCTGAGTATTTTCATATCTTAATACTTTCACTTCTACTTAAGCGAATTAGTGAGTAAAGGAATCTACTTTTACTGTAACATTTTAGCCGTTCAAGTTTAGTTACTGATTCCTTTTTGTGTTTAATTTCATTCTGTTCTGTTGTTGAAAGTGTCTGCTCTGCTCTGTGATTGGTCACACTGCTCACTTTAGTGATAGTGTTTCATTTTAAACCAAAATAACACAAAAAAGAGAGAAATAGAGCTGAACAGTCTTCAGTTCCTGTGCTGAGAGATGCTGGATTTACTAAGAAGTTACACTGCAGTTCTATGCGTTACTGAGTACTTAAGTACTTAAGTAACTTAAGTTGTTTTATTTGAAGGTACTTTTACTTGAGTATTGATTTGGCTACTCCACTCACCTCTGAACATGACTAAACCAAGACTCACAGGGATGCAGGAAGTGGTGTTGAGGGGGCTGGAGCACCCCCTGATTTCAGGACTGCAACTGTTAATAATAATAACAAAACGTTCTAAACTTTACGGTAATTTGAGCGCAGTAGAGAACCACGTGTGCTTGTTTTAGAACAGAGTTTAGAACAGTGAGCAACAGCTGCTGACGCTTTGGCGGCTCAAACTCATGCAGGCTGTGCAGAGTGCTAACACTTTACTGTAGGGTTCTGTTCATAAGGCTACATGACGCCTACATAAGATTGTCATGACAACTCACATAACCTTACATGAATGTTTATAAATGCTTATTCCAACAGTCATTATGGACCTATACCAATTTTAAAGACATAAAAATTCCAAAAACAGATAAAAAATCTGATTTAAAAAAAAAATAGAAAACAAAATGACTGACAGTTGTCAGGTCATATGGTCAAATTTAAAAGAGGCTCCATTAGTTTTAGTTAACAGTACTTTACTGACTGAAGCGATTGACAATTACATCAATTAAACTTACATAAACAGCAGAAACCCACATCATAAAAATCTAAAATATGTATTGTGTTTTTGTGTATTGGGTCTTGTTGAATAGTGATATTCTGATTCTCCACACTGCCCAGTCAGGAGGTGGCCTGGTGAATGCTGGTGTAACGAGTGAAGACCAGAGCAGGTTTATCAGTCATTTCATTTTTTTTGTTTTTATAAATACACACTGAGCTCACCTGTGAAAGTGGGCGTTTTCTTACCTGAAATACAGACTGGCAGCGGCGAGGACGGCCCTGTGGCAGGGGAAGAGCTGGCCCTGAACACTGAGCGTGACGTCTGTGAGGAAGCCGTCCAGCCGGAGACTTTGCAGGCCGTCCTGGAGCTGCTGAGGAAGTCCGGAATCCTCGAACTTCACGCTGCCGTCTTCCAGCCTGCCCTCGCTCAGCGTCTCCAGCAAGTCTGCACACCCTCCAGAACCTTCCACGGGCCGGGGGCCGTCCGAGCTCTTCTCCACAGAGTCCCCCATGGGTCATTCCCCAACACCGGCTAACAGCAGGAACCTCCTCTAGATAATCCCTCCAAAGATACAGACCACAAGTCCAGATCAGAGCAGAAACCCTGCAGAGGACCGGTGGTGCTTTCTATCAGGACGCAGTAGATGTTTTCTCTCAGGATGTGTGCTAACAGCTTCTACAACAGCTTCCTGTTCTTCAGCGTATCTGACACTTGCGCTCCGCTGAGGTCAGGTGCAAAAACAGGAAGTTTTGAAACTTCTCAAAAAAAGTGCCTGTGAAACAATGAGAGGCACGCCGGCCTACGCTGTTCTTCTTTCTGTGGATCTTTTGGAACTTCCCTTCTCTTCTGAGTTCGGCGGCTGGTGGACAGAAAGCAAACGCAGCCTGAATCGCTTCATTGTTCACAAAACTCAGATTGCAACATTTCTACATCAGTAACAGCGGTTTGGTTTCTGAGAGATTATGAAAGTGACACGGTCAAGCGTCAATCCTGAATCCTGACTCCAGGATTTGGTTGAGGTGATGTGGACCTTCTACGCATTTCCCACTTTAAGGAGCATTTTGTCTTATTAAGCAAGTAATATATATTATATTGGAAATCCAAAAAGAAGACAGCAGTTCAAAGATCGTGCGTCCTGCAATCCTGAGAAACAGAGCCCAACACAACTAATTACTGGGAGCTTTTACCCTCAATTAATTGGAATAAACCAAATATTTTTCTAAATTTATATCACACATCCAGTTGTGTAAATAAAGTGTAATTTAAACTGTGGAAATGTGTAATGTGAAGACTTCTGTGTGGTGTGGACAGAATATATATAATTCAGTAATTTTTCATTCATTTTTTAATTTGACTAATTTTGTATTTATTTATATCCTTAAATAAAACAAAGTGCATATTTGTGGTTTGTTATGTATAAATAAAGCATTAAAGAAAGTGATGTCTGTTGCACTGGAGAAAATAACACTAATAAAGTTCAGTGTTTGCAATTATGATTTCATTTAATGAGTATAACTGCTATAATTTTAGTTTTCATAGCTGATCTGACCCTAAACCTAAACCTGTTAAACTGCTACTCCTAAGCAGTGAGTTTGGACTAAAGATAAATCTAATATGAGGATTATAATCAATTGTTTGTTCTTTGAGTGTGGCTAACGTAGGCCTAGTAAGCATGAACCAACACAAACTCTATGTGTTAGGGCTAGTGTTAACTGCCCAAAGGATCTCTGATTAACTGCCCAAAGGATCTCTGATTAACTGGCCAAACGATCTCTGTTTAACTGGCCAGACGATCTCCGATTAACTGCCCAGATAATCTCCGATTAACTGCCCACATGGTCTTAGATTAACTGCCCAAACAATCTTCGATTAGCTGCCCAAACAATCTCAGGTAAACTGGCCGACCGACCTCCGGTGGTGAACTGGCCAAACGATCTCTGGTGCACTGGACGAACGATCTCCGATTAATTGCCCAAACGATCTCTGGTGAACTGGCTGACCGACCTCCGGTGAACTGCCCAGACGATATCTGATTAACTGCCCATGCGGTCTTAGATTAACTGCCCAAATGAGCTCAGGTAAACTAGCCAACCGACCTCCAGTGGTGAACTGGCCGACCAATCTCCGCTGAACTGTCAGGCCGATCCTTGCTGAACTGGCCGGCCGACCGCCGGTGAACTGGCCAAACGATCTCAAATTAACTGCCCAAACGATCTCTGGTGAACTGGCCGAATGATCTACGATTAGCTGGTCGAACAGTCTCTGATTAACTGGCTGAACTCTTTCCGATGAACTGCCCAGACAGTTTCTGATTAACCACCCAATCTCTGATTAACTGCTCAAATAGTCTCTGATTAACTGGTTATACGATCTCCAGTTATCTGGCCAAACAATTTCTGATTAACTGCCCAAACAAGCTCTGACTAACTGGTCAAATGACCTCCTATTAACGGCCCAAACGAACTCCAATTAACTGCCCAAGATCTCCGGTGAACTGGCTGAATGATCTCTGATTAACTGCCCAAACAATATTTGACTATCTGGTCAACTGATCTCCGATTAACTGCCCAAATGATATCTAGTGAACTGCCCGAACGATCTCAAGTTAACTGGCCAATTTCTGATTAATTGTCCAAATGATCTCCAGTTAACAGCTCCTTACAGTGAGCACACTCAAAAGTACAGTCATAAAAACACACTTTAAAGCTCAAAAAAGTGAAAACCAAAAATAAAACTTAAAATAAGCAGCAATTTGGAGCTCAAGTTTGTTTACATTAACTCAGACTGAATAGAAGTGTGAGGCATAATTACATTCATAATTAAATGCATACATTGATTTTATTTATTAAAATTCTCTCTGCAAAAGTCAAGCATTAACCTACGACAGGTCCACGTACATCTTCTTCACTCTGGTTTGGCTGCAGTTCACAAGTTAGCGGCGCTGCATGCTTCTTAACATGTTTACAGACTAGACAAACTGTTTTAAATGGAGCGGAAACTTAACAGACAGAGCTGTCAAAACAGGCCGCGTTTCATGTACAGCGTGAACAACCATGTCAGTCAGACCGTTTACGACTGTTCAGGACGTCTCATACTGTACACTGTGCGCTCAGCTTACTGCAACTAACGGGTTCATCAGATGCAAGTGGAACATTTTAGATTCACCAACTCGACCTGCAAGGTTTAAGTCCAATAAAGTCTGCAGAAACTCAACAAAGCAGCACTGAAAAGTCCAGCAAAACATTTCAGTAGAAAATGGTGGGAAAATGTGTGTCAGAGGGTCACATGATCACTCCAAATGTGCTGTGCAAAGGCTTATGGGACCCAAACACTTTAATGTTCCAATATTGCAAAACAAAATAAAAAGTGTGACACAGAGTTCCACACTATCACACCATATATATACCTCCTTATTTCTACACTCACTGTCCACTTTCAGCTGACCGTATAGTTTCACTCTGTAGTTCTACAGTTACAGACTGTAGTCCATCTGTTTCTCTGCATACTTTGTTAGTCCCCTTTTACCCTGTTCTTCAGTGGTCAGGACCCCCATGGACCCTCACAGAGCAGGTACTATTTGGGTAGAGGGTCATTCTCAGCACTGCAGTAACACTGATGTGGTGGTGGTGTGTTAGTGTGTGTTGTGCTGGTCTGAGTGGATCAGACACAGCAGTGCTGCTGGAGTTTTTGAACACTGTCTCCACTCACTGTCCACTCTATTAGACACTCCAACCTTGTCAGTCCACCTTGTAGATGTAAAGTCAGAGACGATAGCTCATCTTAACTTCTGCTTTTTATCATCTACAGTACATAATATCATTAAAAGATTCAGAGAATCTGGAGAAATCTCTGTATGTAAGGGACAAGGCCAAAAATCAGTATTTGCTGGCCGTGATCTTTGGGCCCTCAGGCGGCACTGCATTAAAAACAGACATGATTCTGCAGTGGAAATCACTGCATGGGCTCAGAAACACTGAAAACCACTGTCTGTGAAAACAGTTCATCACTGCATCCACAAATGCAAGTTAAAACTCTAAAACGCAAAGAAGAAACCAGATATAAACAGGATCCAGAAATGCTGCCACCTTCTCTGGGCCAGAGCTCATTTAAAATGGACTGAGGGGAAGTGGAAAAGTGTCCTGTGGTCTGACGAATCAACATTTGAAATTCTTTTTGGAAATCATGGACACTGTGTCCTCCGGGCTAAAGACCACTCAGCTTGTTATCAGTGCACAGTTCTAAAGCCAGTATTCATGATGGTGTAGGGGGGCATTAGTGCACATGGCCTGGGTGATGTGCACATCTGTGAAGACACCATTAATGCTATACATGTTTTGGCAACATATGCTGCCATCCAGACAACGTCTTTTTCAGGGAAGGCCTTGATTATTTCAGCAAGACAATGTCAAACCACATTCTGCACATATTACAACAGCATTTATTTATTATTAAAAGAGTAAAGGTGCTAAACTGACCTGTCTGCAGTCCAGATCTGTCACCACTGAAAATATTTGGCGCATTATGAAATGAAAAATTTGACAAATGAGCCCCTGAACTGATGAGCAGCTGAAATCCTGTATCAAACAATAATAAGAAAACATTTCTCTTTCTAAACTACAGCAGAGTCTCCTCAGTTCCCAAACACTTGCAGGGTGTTGTTAAAGAAGAGGTGATGAAACACAGTGGTAAACAGGCCCCCGTCCCAACTTTTTTGGAACGTGTTGTTGGCATCAAATTCAAAATGGGCAAATGTTTAATTGCATCCTATTTTAATTTACGTTCTATACAGCATCCCAACTTTTTTGGAAATGTGGTTGTAGAACGATCACTAAATAAAAAAAAAAAAATCACAATATTTATATATATATATATTTATATATATATATATATATATATATATATATATATATATATATACACACACAAAAAAAAGATTAAATTAAATAGTTAAAATGAATGAAGTGGGGTTATAAAGATAAAAGATAAAAGCAGGAAAGAAAACTTCGCTCACACAACTGAAACTGAACCAAGTCTATTTTAATAATTTACAAAGAATGTTTTAAATTGGTTTCATCATTTAAAAAAAACACTGTTTTATTTCTCGTGCAGGGGGAAGACCAGAAGTGTAATGCTGACGTCTCTGGAATGTCTTCTACAAAAAGGTTTTCACTGAAATGTAGTTTCACTTGAAAAACAAGTTAGATTTCACATACAAAGAAATACAGCAAATTATTATTTCTAAGACAACAATTGAAAATACATTAACTTGCAGTACTTTGTCAGATTGTTAGTTAAAATATAAAATATAGTATACATATCCATAAATATAAAACAGCTAGTCAAAAATGTCCCGATTCCGGTTTGTTTGTTTTTTCCATTTAGGTTTGCTACTGAAGTACATAATATACAAAACGATTTAATACACTTTCAACTTATTAGGTTTTTCCTAAAACAAAAAAATCTAAACTTTTAATCAAAGAAAGAAATAATTCTTTTTTTCATACAGCAAACACTTTCCATTGAGTTACATATTTGGAGACGAGGGTAAGGCAGACGGGCAGTAGGCACGAGTGACTGGTCGTTTGGGGCTTTAAGGGGCCAAGATATGAGATTTCAAGTATCAATGCTAATCTGAAAAAGGGGATAACAGTGATTTTCAATCGATAAATGTCACTGACCGGTCAGGTAGTCTGATGAAACCAAGGCCACAGTGATAACCGCTTATAAAAAAAAACAACAAAAAAAAAAACAAAACAAAAATAAAGACAAAAACAAGTTACTAGAAAAATCTAGACAAACGTTACAGTTCGTGGTTTTGTTTGTGGCTCTGGTGTTTTATGGGCTCGTGATGGAGCCGAACACTGAGAGTTTGGCACGGGGCAGGGCTGGAGATGTAGCTTTGGGTTTGGGTTTTGGATGCAGGGCTCTGTGTAGCAATATCTGGCAAAGTTTGGGGTGTTTGGGAGTTTTTTGGGTTTTAAGGTGCAAGGATTGAGGGTGGAGTTTGGGGGCGGGGTTTGGGCTGAGTTTCAAGGATGAGGTTTGGATCAGGGTTTGGGCTTGGGTGGAGTTTTGGGGCAGAGTTTTGGAGTGGGGTTTTGGGTGGAGCTGCGGAGCGGGGTTTGGTTTTTCATGGAGGTTTGGGTGGACTTTTGGAGCAAGATGTGTGTTTTGTTAGTATTTTGGGGCAGGATTTGGGTTCGAATGTAGTTTTTTTGGTGGAGTTTTGGGGCAGGGTTCGGGTTCGGGTGGAGTTTTGGGGCAGGGTTCGGGTTCGGGTGGAGTTTTGGGGCAGGGTTCGGGAGGACTTTTGGGGCAGGGTTTCGGTTGGGGGAACTTTTGGGGCAGGGTTCGAATGGAGTTTTGGGGCAGGGTTTGGGTGGAGCTTTGGGGCAGGGTTTGGGGGGTGAGGTGCTGATTGTGCAGGTCAGCCACTCTGGGCAGAGCCGCTGATGTCCACTGATCCGGGCGCTGTGGCTCTGTTCAGCGGTTTGGAGTGGGAAAGGTCCACACAGGGACCGGCAGCAAGAAGGGGGCGGGGCGTTGTGGCACTGTGGGCACATGCTGGCACAGCACTGGCACACGCTGGCACGCCGTTTCCACTGCTAACGGCTGCTCTTCATGGCCTCCTTGGCAGCAAGTATAAGTGGAGTGAGGCTGGACAGAGGCTTGGCTAGTTTCAGGAAAGGATGCTGCAGAAAAGTGGAGATTATTAATTTCATCATAACAACATCTGAGTTTTACGTGAGACATTGTATTATTTTTTAAACTTCCTGCATGCTTGGAAAAACTGACTGGGCCTCACCTGCAGGAGCTCTAGCATTGATTCAGTAAGGCTGCGTTCACATTACCAGGCTGAAGTGGCACAAATCCGATTTTTTGCCCTAATGTGACTCAGATCTGATGTTTTCAGAGCTGTGTGGACACAAATCTGATCTTTTCAAATCCAACCTGAGCCACCTTCATATGTGGTCCTAGATCAGACACGTATCTGATTCGTGGCCATACGACCTTAATGAGACGCTCAGATCGGAATTCATGTGCTTTTTTTCCACTGCGCGTGCGATATCATTCAGCGTTACCATGGCAGCAGCGCCGAACAGAAGTTAAAGCCTGTAAACGGTGGAAAAGCAGCTCATCTCACCTTTTTCTCCTCCGTCTCGCTCTAATAATGAAGCTGAGAGCTGATCAGAGTTAATTATCTTCTCAGCGAAGCTCGTTCTGCTCGTTAGTTTGTGCTGATGATGAACGTGATTCACTCACGTGACGTTACTGAGTACGATGAGCTCATGAGGGTCATTTCAGGACGCTGGTTCACATTAATGACAGATTTGAGTCACTTACCTAAACGAGTGTGAACCATCGAGTCAGAGAGATCGGATTTGAGCAACGATGCTTGTAATGTGAACGGAGCTTAAGGTTCTGCTTGGAGCTCCAGCACTGGTTCAGTAAGGTTCTGCTTGGAGCAGGAGCTCCAGGATTGATTCAGAAAAGGTTCTTATTAGTCCTCGCCTGCAGGAGCTCCACCACTGGTGAACGTTAACATGGGCTCACCTGTAGGAGCTCTTTACTGCCGCCTCTTTTCTCCACGTCCATCTCCAAGCAGCGGTTCAGGAAGTCTCTGAAAACTGGAGAAAGTTTCTCCGGGTTCTGCAGCTCAGGAGTGCCGTTAGTGGCAATGAGGTACAATGCCTGGACAACAAACGCAAGTAGGAGTTCTGCTTTAATTATAAGGTTTGACTTCTAGTGCAGTTTTACAACTTTTCAAACAAAAATCATGTGATACAAAATGGGTTATGTGGCAAACACATCACAATACTTGAAGAAATACATTTTCTTTGTGGAGTGTTAATCTGTTGTTGTATCATCTCTGTCAGCTCCTGCATTACTGTCTAATTCTAAAACACAGACCCATCATATACTCAGATATGTACTGTCATGATGTACAGCGTATTGTGATGTATCATGATAACAATAATGAATCGCCCAGTCGTGGCGATGTCCTGATAAATAACGTGAATGTGCTTGTGTTGAGAGCAGGTGCAGGAGTGTGAAAGCTCACCCTCAGAGGATTCTCGTTGAGATACGGAGGTTCTCCCTCCACCATCTCTATAGCCATGATGCCCAGGGACCAGATGTCCACTTTGGGGCCGTAAGCTTTACGCGTGACCACTTCAGGGGCCATCCAGTAGGGGGTGCCCACCATGGTGCTGCGTTTACTCTGCTCTGGAGTGATCTGAGCGCAGAAGCCAAAATCCGCTACACAGCAGGAAGGACAAAACACAGAATCAAAACAATTACACTCTCAGCGTCTCACATCTACAGACTTTTCTGGAAAAGTTGAGCTATTCCGTAAAATGCAATAAAAACAACAATCTGTGATTTGTTAATTGTCTCGAATCTTTATTTATCCTACAAAAGCACAAAAAAAGACTTTTAATGCTTTGGCTGACCAACTTGATTGCATTTTTGTAAATACGAACAAATTTTAAATTTAATGCCTGTAACCCTCAAAAGAAGTTGGGACAGATGCAAAATAAGAGTGAAAAGTTTATAGAATATTATAGTTACACTATTTTGAAACATTCCACAATAAGCAGGTGAACTGGTAACTGATGAGGGAATCATGATTGGGTATAAACGGAGCATCCACCAAAGGCTCAGTCTTTGCAAGCAAAGATGGGTCGTGGCACAGCACTATTTACGTACATAATATTGTGAAAAGATTCAGGGAATCTGGAGAAATCTCAGTCCGTGTGGGTCAAGGCCAGAAACCACTGCTGAATCTGTGACCTTCCAGCCCTCAGACGGCACTGCACGAGAAACCGTCATGCTACTATGTTAAATACAGCCACATGGGCTCGGGAAGACTTCAGGATACCTCTGTCACTTAACACCATTATCAAAAAAATATTCTGCTAATAATATTCAAAAAAAACTTTGAGCTCTATTACGCAAGGAGAAAACCATACGTCTATCCTATGCAGAAACGCCGCTGAGTTCTCTCAGGGCCTGGGCTCATATTAGATGGTCTGAAAGAAAGTGGAAATGTGTGCTGTGGTCAGATGAGTCCACATTTCAGCTTGTTTAAGAAAAACGGAGGTCGGGTTCTCTGTGCTAAAGACAAAAGGGCCCATCCAGACTTTTATAAGTGAAAGGTGCAAAAGCCAACATCTCTCATGGTATGGGGGCATCAGTGCCCACAGCATGGGTAACCTGCATATTTATGAAGGCATCACTGACACATAGGTGTATTGTGGGAATTTAGAGAGACATACGCTTCCATCAAGAAGTAAAACAATGCTGCTCCTCATTCCATATGTGCTACAACAGCGTGGCATCGTAGGCACAGAATGCATGTGCTTGACTGGCCTGCCTGCAGTCCAGATCCGTCTCTACTGAAAATGTTTGGTGCGTCATAAAGAGAAGACTTGGACAATGATGACAACAGGCTGCTAAGCAGCTGAAGTCTTGCATGAGGCAAGGAGGGAAAAAAATCCCACTTGCAAAACAGCAACAATTTATATCGTCAGTTCCCAAATAATTAAAAAGTGTAATTAAAAGGAAAGGCGATGAGAAACAGTGGTAAACAGGCCTCTGTTCCAATTTTTTGAGTGTGTTGCAGGCATTAAATTTTAAATTTACAAAATACAATTAACTTGGTCAGTGATAACAGTGGAAATCTTTTCCTTGTACTTTTGTCAGTTAATTAAAGATTCGAGAGAAGTAACAAATCACGGATTCTTGTTTTTATTGCATTTTACAAAATGTCCCAACTTTTCTGCAAATGGGGTTTGTATCATCCTCTCAGCGATGCAAATATAACAGCACTCATTCCGGATCAATAACAGGTCTGGACAATTTTCAACAGCGATGCAAAGACAGACACCATGACTGAACAATTCCTGTGCAACACTTTTCAAATTCAAAAATTACATAAAAAACAGATCCATATAGTAAAAATTCAATTGTACCTTTTTTTTTAAAAAAAGAAATAACTTTTGTTTTTCTTTTTAAATAGATTACAAAAAAACCTGTTCCAGTACAGTACCTAGCACAGTACCCAGCACAGTACCCAGCACAGTACCCAGCAGTGTCTGACATTTAATATAATATGGTAAGGGTGACTTTATAATGGCGCAGATGAACTTCACAGTAGAGCAGCTGAACAATTTTACGTTGAAGCAGCTGATTTTACAGTAGAAGGTGAAACTCACTCAGTTTGACCGAGCCGTCCATGCCCAGCAGCACGTTGTCACTCTTGATGTCTCGGTGGATGACCTGGTTAGCGTGCAGGAACTCCAGAGCCTGCAGGCACTGAGGAGGAGCCAGACAGGAAAAGAGTCAGTAACCATGAAAACCAGAGCCAGCAGACCACCAGTGGGCGCCACTCTGCAAACAACTTATGATGTCCCTATTGTTTGCTGGCTTTAGGATACGTCATCAGCTTCTGGCTCATGTTAACAAAATGCTATCCATTCTTCTGTTGTTAATTGTATGATCAGGTTTATTGAGCGGCACTTCTGTTTTATTGGCTTTGTTAATCAGATGGCGAGTGGGGTCAAAGGGAACGACATTAGCAGGGTTAGAGGGGAGCAGTGTGAGGTGTTAAAGGTGCGGTACCTCTCTGCACACAGCAGCGATTTGGGCCTCGTCCATACACGTTTCTGTCACCACGTCTGTCAGAGAACCTCCAGCTAAATACTCCATCACCACAAACAACTCCTCACCAACCAGGAAACTACACACACACACACACACACACACACACACACACACACACACACACACACACACACGTCATCATTATCCCCAAAATCATGAAATACTGGAATCAAACAATTGAAATGATAACATTAAAATAATAAATAACATAAAACAAGGACCCAGCGTGAAACCCTTTAGTGGACACGCAGAAATGTAATGCTGAGCTGACCTGTCTAAGAAGTTAACGATGTTGGGGTTTTTGAGCTCCTTCATCACCAAAATCTCATTAATGATCAACTCCTTCTTCGGCTGCTTCTGCAGGTTAATCTGCTTTATGGCCACCTAAACACACAACAATAAGAACGATAAATAACAATATTTAACAACAATAAATAATACATAATATTAACACTATAATAATACCAACAATAATAGTATGCAAAGAGATGATTCAACTCACCTCTTGCCCTGTGGCAACATCGATGGCAGTAAACACAGTACCAGACGCACTGCAGAGAGATTACCAAAGATGGTAAATAAGAGATGCTTTAAAAAGTTTCACACAAGCATTTTTACAGTTTTTCAATACTGCACTGAAATCATTACAGTCGTATCCATCAAACTAATCACTGATATCTTTGGTCATGTTTGACTTTGTGCTGATCAAATTTGGCAGTTTTTACGTATGTTTTGAACTTTGAGGCTGCATTTACTTTATTTGAAGCAGTTGATTTTGAACATATCTATGTTGTTCAGGTAGAAACAGCAATAAAAAATATACAGACGAAAACAGTCGCAGACACACTCACCCCTGTCCAATCTTCTCATATCGCGTGTATTTCTTCTTAGGGTCTCCGATACTCACTATTGTTCCTAAAAGAAAACAAAACACATTCAAATAAAATCTGCTTCCCTTTAGATCAGGAACCATCACCACAGCAGAAGCTGATTCATTCTGCAGTTAAAGACGGAGCCGTACTCAGTTTCTCCATAATCTCCTCATCAGTCATCTTGCCCTTGCCCTTCTTCTGCCGGTCTGCGGCTCTGGAGGTGTCCGAGTCCCCGGTGGCGGCGGGTGGGGGCAGGGGGTCGATCATGGAGGGACGAGTCAGGATCTGGAACAGTTCAGAAAAAATAACAACAAGGTGAGGATACAAAAATGGAGGGACACAACTCCACCACCTCCATCACCACCACCATCACCATCATTCCTATGATAATCACTACATCATCACCACCATGATCACCATAATCACCATCATTACTGTGATCAACATCATTCCATCATCACCACCACCATGATCACCATCATTACTGTGATAACCATCATCACTACTATGATCACATCATCACTATCATTACTACCATCATTACTGTGATAACTATCAAAACTACTATGATCACCGTCATCACCATCATTCTATCAGCACCATCACAATTGCCATCACCATCATTACTGTGACCAACATCAGCATTACATCACCATGACCATGATCACCACCATCACCACCATCATTACTGTGATAACCATCACATCACCATCATTATCACCATCATCATCATTACTGTAATAACCATCATCACCACCACCACAATCATCACCATGATTACCACCATCATTAGTGATAACCATCACATCACCACCATGATCACCATCATTACTGTAATAACCACTATCACTATCATCATAACCATTGTCACTGTAATAACCCTTGTTACATCATCATCATTACAATGATCACCGCCACCATTCCCATCACCTTATCAACACCACATAATCATCACCATAATCATCATCTCCACCATCACCATCAATACTTCTATCTACATCCTCCTCATCACTATCATTATTACTAACAAACTTTTCAAATTAAATTCTGTCACTGAATCGCGTGTTTATTGAACGTTCTCAGGGTGGACGTGGAGCCGCCCGGTCTGTGAGCATGTGGAGACGCCCGGTCCGTGAGCATGTGGAGCCGCCCGGTCCGTGAGCATGTGGAGACGCCCGGTCCGTGAGCATGTGGAGCCGCCCGGTCTGTGTGGTGTTAATAGACTGCAGACAGATGGAGGTGTTCACTCACAGATTTGGTGTGTTCAGGGCGAGGTGCTACTACAGGTGGAGGGGCGTCATCGTCATCAAGGTCATCAGAGTCCTTGGTACTGGGGGGCGATGGCTCTGAACCTTTCTTCGCTGGTGGGGCGTCTTTATCTGGAAAATCATTTTTATTTAGATTTAAACCATCTGTATCTATACCTGAAACAGAGAGTCAGTATTTAGGAGTGGAGAGAGAGAGAGAGAGAGAGAGAGAGAGAGAGACAGAGAGACAGAGAGACAGAGGGAGAGACAGAGAGACAGAGAGACAGAGAGAGAGAGAGAGAGACAGAGAGAGAGAGAGAGACAGAGAGAGAGAGAGGTGAAGGGAGAACAAAGTAAAGGGTATTTACTGTAAATCTGAGGCAATTCTGTGGTGTTTCCCTTTAAAGCTGTGATATCTACCAGTAACGCTGATGTATTTGTGGTGTTTACCTGTAAAGCTAAGGTATTTCTTTAGCGTTTACCTGAAAACCGAGGTATCTACCTGTAAAGCTAAGGTATGTACCTGTAAATTTAAGGCTGTTGTGTTTATCTGTAAACCTGAGGTATTTTTTTACAATGTTTATCGGTAAATCTGAGGTATGTACCTGTAAATTTGAGGCTGTCATGTTCATCTGTAAAGCTGAGGTATTTCTGTAGTATTTACCTGTAAAGCTGAGGTATTTCTGTAGTATTTACCTGTAAAGCTGAGGTATTTCTGCTTGCCGTTGCCCGTTGAATCATAGAATTTGAGGACGTCCAGCACAGCCTGAGGATTCTTCTTCTGCTCAGATTTGGTGATGTTGGAGGTCTGCAGGAGTCGAGCCCACTGCTCCGGCATACCCTGCATAAACAAACAGGGGGACAGAGAATACGCTATATGTCAGATATGCTACAGGCATGCTAATCACTGGATAAGCTAAAAAGCCTCAAATCATCAAAACAGATAATAAGCTAAAACTTCATCACAGTGTGGTTTTGGCTTGAGGTTAGGATTAAGACCAGGGTGAGGGTTAGTATTAGGTTTCAGGGTAATGGACGTACCGTATAAAGTCTGTTTTATAAAACATATCAATACATTCACTTACTGTAAGTAACGTATCAACAGTACAACTATAAGCTATTTACTTCAGTGTACTCAGATGCTTCACTACTGCGACTTTACTAATATGATATGTTACTGATAATCTGAGTTTATTCATCATTATTCATAAAGGACCACTCAAAATAAGTGTTACTGAGTAAAGTTGACAGAAAGGGGAGGGGCTTATTCTGTGGACACACACTCTCAAATGACCGGCCTTTTTATCTGAACAGCTTATAAATTCTAGAGGTTCAATTTAAAGTTTAATACGAGGCAAAGAGGTAATAAAGACAGAATGTGCGTCTCACTCACGGTGAATTCTCCCGTAACAGCATCGAAACCAACGTGAATGGTGTGTTCGAAGTCTGACGGAGGAGAAATCTCAGGCCGTTCTTTATCTTTATCCTTCTTTCTTCCTCCTGAGAGAGAGAGAGAGAGAGAGAGAGAGAGAGAGAGAGAGAGAGAGAGAGAGAGAGAGAGTCTGATTACAGAGTGTATTCGTAAAATGTAATTTCAGACAAAGACTGGTAAAAACTCCTGTAGACTTCGCACACGCACACATATTCTGACTTCAGTCGTATTCTATACTGCTGATTTTGGAGAGTCTATTAAAGCCCCTATTAGAATGTGTGCTTTAGAACTTTCAGCAGATCTTTACTGCGCATTAGATGAGCACCTACACACCAGCACACGGGTTAAATATAACAATCAGTGAAAAAATAAAAGTGCACTGAATATTTTCGTAAACACTTCACGTGCACTAAATGCTGAAATACTGGATACTGAAAATGACAGAACACCATAAAGAAAGAAAGTGTGTTTTGGGAGAGTGTGACCTCTGACCTTTCTCAGAGAAGATGGAGATGATTTTGTTGCGAGAGGGCTTCTTCTCCTCGGGTACGGAGGGGAGGGGCTTCGAGCTGTGATTGGTGGGAACTCCGTCTTTACTGCCTGTGCTGCTCATCCTGACTGGGGGGGCGGGGGGCTTATCCTCCAGCTCACCGTTATCAGACATGACAGGGAAACACACACGCACACGAACGGAGCTACCGCGCTTCACTCACCGACCTGCAGGGGGAGACAAACAGCATTTATTAACACACAGAATACAAACAAACAAGCACAGCTACTGCGCTTCACTCACTGACCTGCAGGGGGAGACAAACAGCATTTACTAACACTGGACTGAACTGTAGCGGTGTGTACAGCCGAGTGCTGCTGCGCTCTGATTGGCTTTCAGAACTAAATTTTTAAATTTAAACGGTGACTCCTGCTAACCGGTTTATAAGCCACAATGCTATTTTTTACTTTGCTAATTACTAAAAATTAAAATATCAAAGTAAAAATCTGTTACTAGAAATAAACTTCAGGAAAACTACAATGATTTAGTTCTACTCCAATAAAAAGGTACCATTAAGCAGAAATAAAACCTGCAGAACTGTAATGAGGGCAGAGTGTTAGTTTCGCCCTCAGCCTGAAATCAGACACACCGCTGAGGAGTGAAAGGTGAGAAGTATCAGATCGGAGTGTTTGTTCTACTTTCATTGTTCGGTCAGAAATCACTTCCACGTGGTCACACTGCCACCAGCAACACCACCAAACATGGTAAAATCCTGTCTCACCTCAGCAAGATCAATTCAACACATCAGTGAGACACGGTGTGACCTCAGCGCCGCCGCAGACACTTCCTGTTCCACTGCACGCGGCTCATCTGCACACGCAGCGCAGACAGAGCTGCAGTCTGAGCAGAAAATCTCACACCATCACTGCGTCTGCACCAATAACACCATCAGCTGATTTCAGCAGCGGCCTGAATAATCACAACTGTCACGGAAACAGAACATCACAACGAACTGGATCAAACTGAAAGATACCAGATTAATGATACAAACACCGAACAACCAGATTACTGACATAATCCACATGTTCCAGAAATCTGCAAACAACACAGAGTCCAACAACACAGAGTCCAACAACACAGAGTCAAACAACACAGAGTCCAACAACACAGAGTCAAACAACACAGAGTCAAACAACACAGAGTCAAACAACACAGAGTCAAACAACACAGAGTCAAACAACACAGAGTCCAACAACAAAGAGTCAAACAACACAGAGTCCAACAACACAGAGTCCAACAACACAGAGTCCAACAACACAGAGTCCAACAACACAGTCAAACACAGAGTCCAACAACACAGAGTCCAACAACACAGAGTCCAACAACACAGAGTCCAACAACACAGAGTCAAACAGAGTCCAACAACACAGAGTCCAACAACACAGAGTCCAACAACAGAGTCCAACAACACAGAGTCCAACAACACAGAGTCCAACAACACAGAGTCAAACAACACAGAGTCCAACAACACAGTCAAACACAGTCAAACAACACAGAGTCAAACACAGAGTCAAACAACACAGTCAAACACAGAGTTCTCTCAGTCTGAGCATGTGTGAAAACAGAGCAGATTATTAAGTGTAAACACACTGAACCAGTTACTGAGGCAATCTGATTTTCTGCAGTTATCGGATTATTAAGTGAATGTAAACTCACTCAAATATAATTATAATAAACTATATAGTATTCCAACGGGAATTTAAAATACAAAAATCCAACAACACAGTCAAACACAGAGTCCAACAACACAGAGTCCAACAACACAGAGTCAAACAACACAGAGTCAAACAACACAGAGTCAAACACAGAGTCCAACAACACAGAGTCCAACAACACAGAGTCCAACAACACAGAGTCAAACAACACAGAGTCAAACAACACAGAGTCAAACACAGAGTCCAACAACACAGAGTCCAACAACACAGAGTCAAACAACACAGAGTCAAACAACACAGAGTCAAACAACACAGAGTCCAACAACACAGAGTCCAACAACACAGAGTCCAACAACACAGAGTCAAACAACACAGAGTCAAACAACACAGAGTCAAACACAGAGTCCAACAACACAGAGTCCAACAACACAGAGTCAAACACAGAGTCAAACAACACAGAGTCAAACAACACAGAGTCAAACACAGAGTCCAACAACACAGAGTCCAACAACACAGAGTCCAACAACACAGAGTCCAACAACACAGAGTCCAACAACACAGAGTCAAACAACACAGAGTCAAACAACACAGAGTCAAACACAGAGTCCAACAACACAGTCAAACACAGAGTCCAACAACACAGAGTCCAACAACACAGAGTCCAACAACACAGAGTCCAACAACACAGAGTCAAACAACACAGAGTCAAACAACACAGAGTCAAACAACACAGAGTCCAACAACACAGAGTCAAACACAGAGTCCAACAACACAGAGTCCAACAACACAGAGTCCAACAACACAGAGTCAAACAACACAGAGTCAAACAACACAGAGTCAAACACAGAGTCCAACAACACAGTCAAACACAGAGTCAAACAACACAGAGTCCAACAACACAGAGTCCAACAACACAGAGTCCAACAACACAGAGTCCAACAACACTGAGCTAAACAACACAGAGTCCAACAACACAGAGTCCAACAACACAGAGTCCAACAACACAGAGTCCAACAACACAGAGTCCAACAACACACAGTCCAACAACACACAGTCCAACAACAGGACAACTAAGAATGTGGCTACATAAAACCACAGCTAAACAACAATGCAGTAAAACACTAACTGTGTTTAAATGTACTTAATAATCCGATCATTATCAGATTTCTACAGTTCTCTGATTATTAAGAGGTCATGTAAACTCATTTCTCAGATCAGATTAAGGTCTATAAATTGATTAGTAAATCTGATAAAGAGGCTGGATCTGAGTCAGTAAAGGGGTTTCTCAGTGTAAACTCTGACTCTGATTTCTTTCGTTTCTCTCAGTCTGAACATGTGTGAAAACAGAGCAGATTATTAAGTGTAAACACACTGAACCAGTTACTGAGGCAATCTGATTTTCTGCAGTTATCGGATTATTAAGTGAATGTAAACTCACTCAAATATAATTATAATAAACTATATAGTATTCCAACGGGAATTTAAAATACAAATTATTATAGTATAAACTGTCAACTAATCACTGCCCATGCAGACAGAGCACTGTAATCAATGTATTTATTATTCCTAAGTAATTGATTCGTGGCTGCCCTGCTCAGAGTCACTGCACTGCCACTCTGTTTACGGCAGCTGCTGAGTTTTGAAATGGTCGATTACTCTGCAGGTATTGCGAAACTGCTGCAGGCTGGAGCGGGCAGGTCCACTTCCTCCGAAAAAAAAAAATACAAAAGAAAAAGTGAAGAACATAAAAGCTCTCAGTCTGGTCAGTGTAGTTTCACTAATATATGCCAAAATACCAACTCAAACAAAAAAAAAACAAGCAGGAATAAACAAACAAGAACAAAACATCACCAATACATCACGCTTACAGAACAGTCACAGTGCAGCTACTGGAGCTGAGGAACTTCAATAACTTCTCAAAATTCCCATAATTCAGTGTGTGAGATTTAAACAAAGTGATTCAGAGTGGTTTGGTGTGAAATGGTTCAGATGTCTTTACAGTGGTGGTGATAGGAACCAGGGGTCGCCATGACTACAACACACTACTTTCTCTGGGGACTATTTTGCCTCACAGCGCCCTGCATGTATCCCTCCACCATGAATGGAGTTTAAGTTCTCTAAACTATCATAAAACAGCGTCTCAGTCATCAGGCAGTGAATTCATAACCATTTCATGTAGGAACTTTCTGTGAGGGAGCTTTTAGAGGTGGACGTCTGGTTCCTATCACCACCACTGTGAACAGTTCTGACTCGGTAAGTTTATCTAGAACAGAGCGTTTCACACCAAACCACTCTGTTCACACTCTAAATCTTTAAGTATGTATAAAATATATGTTAATTATGTAGAGATCCCTTTTAAGGAGCCTCCATATAAAAGCTGGATGATGTTTTTAGTGAGTGGACACAGCAGAGTCTACAGCACCACCTCAGTAAATAGAGCCCGATTCACTCACACTGTTCTGTTCAGTTCAGATTCAGTTCGGCTGGCAGTGCTGGACTGTCAATCATGTCAATCTCATTAGAATTTTAGGTCACATTAAGATGCTAAATTTTAACATCACACAAACATTTTAATATTTTTTCACCATTTACCCTGGAATTTTATATATGGAGACAAGTTTCCAAAAAACATTGACTTTTATTCTCTGTGGCCCAAATAAAGCTGATACGTTTTGGCCAGCAAGTACCTTCAGACATTTAAAACATTTGTAAAAGCATGAAGGGAATAAAAAACAAAACAAGCAAACAAACAAACACCCAGTAATCAGATTCCATGGTGATTCTGAGGGTCAGTCTGTAAACCTCGCCAACGTTGATGCTAATGAGGCACTGCGCTCACCAAAGATCCCAAGACAGTTTAAACAAATTACAATTCAATATGTTTGTTCTTGTGAGCAGCTGAATGAACTGAGCACAAAACGTTTGTGGTGTTAAACAGAATTTTAACTTTTTAACCAAAACTGTTTGACTAGAGCCCATGTTAAAGGGTAATTCCACCCTAAAACTAGAGTTTAATATGTTTTCTGGTGTCATACTGTATTCTGTAGTGCAGTTCATCACTCAGCCTCATCATTTTGGCAGAATTAATAATTTCACTTCATTTTCATTCATCACTGTTCTCTCACTGCAACGTACACAACATACAATACAATCCTGACTGCTAGCGTAGCCGCTGATTTAGAGACTAACAAACACAGACGTAAAATTTGTCTTCCCAGCTGAAACGTTACTCTTCCTTCTACATTACACTGTGAGAAATAAAGGTTCTGTTCAGGTACATTTTTCGGTCATCAAGGTACAAACAGTGTAAACGTTCCCTCAAAGCTCCAACAGTGGTTTTAAGGTCTGATTGTGAACCTTAAATAAGTGTTTCCAGGTGAAAAGTTCGTATTTGTACCTTTTCATAACCGAATGTTTTAAACAGAACAGTAAAATAAAAGCCTGGAGTCGAGACGGGGTGTGTGGAGTCAGTACAGCTTAGAACATATCATTTCAGTGGATTATGGTTCAGT